ATCTGCAATTAATCAGATGTCGATATTTTTTCACAGATTCGATTAATACCTCAGTCGTAAATATATCAGATATTTATCAAATATAATTATCTCTTCTTGAAATGTCGTAATCATAATAGCAGGTGTATTTTTTGTCAAAAACTATGTAATAGGGTATATATATATTTTTATTAATCATTTCTAACTTAGGTCAATTGTAGTTATGTATTATAGATATAATGAATAAGCGTTGATTCTTAAAAAAGAAACCATGAGTCCGGATGGCAATAGCGATTCCCATGGGAACCAACTGTGCTCCTCTTCTTGCAGACTTGTTCCTTTATTAATGAGGCTGACTTCATACATGAACTTCTTAGGAAGAAAGGAAAGAAGTTAGCAATATCCTTTTACTTCACTTTCCGTTTATATAAATGATGTTCTCTCACTAAATGATTTGAAATTTGGTGACATGTTGAACGCATCTATCCCCTCGAACTTGAGATGAAGGATACAACAGCTACAGTTAAGTCTGACATCTAGAAATTGACAATGAGGGTCGGTTTAAAACAAAACTTTACGACAAAAGAGATGATTTCAGCTTCCCAATTGTGAACTTTCCATTTCTATGTAGCAACATTCCAGCAGCGCTTGCATACGGAGTGTATATCTCCCAGTTGAAAGGATATTCCAGGGCTTGTATTTCCTATCATGATTTCCTTGATAGAGGATTGCTGCTTGCAAGGAGGAAGCTTTTAAAACAAGAGTTCCAAGTGGTGAAGTTGAAATCCCTTCGTTAATTTTACGGAGCCATCACGAATTGGTTGACCTTTATGGAATATCTGTTTCACATATGATAGCGGATATGTTCCAATTGTCGTAATTACAATCCCGTCCCCTTTTACCCGAATGTGACCTACCGAATTAGACTTATCACCGGGTTTGTACTAACATGAGCAACACAACGGATGCCACATGTGGAGCAGGATCTGTTTACACTTCCGGAGCACCTGAAATCACCAAGTTTTTGGTTGGGTTCGTATTGCTCAGTGCTCAGTCTTAAGTTTTCTATGTTGTGTTTTGTGTACTGTTGTTTGTCTGTTTGTCTTTTTCTTTTTTAGCCATGGCGTTGTCAGTTTATTTTCGACTTATGAGTTTGAATGTCCCTTTGATCTTTTTCGCCTCTCGTCTAGTACTTCGAGAATGTCAAAGTTTTGTAAACACTTCATTTATAATTATGACCAATTCAAATTGGAGTCGAATGCATCTGCCACGTTCGGGGTTCAAACTCACAACATAATTGTTGGCAGGCTAGTGATACAGTAGATGAACTACTCGGCCAACGAGGCCCCTATGTCATTTATCACCAAGCATAATTACACCACAATGACTATTACCATAAGACATAGAAAGGAAATTGCCTTCCTCTATACATACCAAAGAGCATACACACTGAATTATGGACATGCACTACAATATTTGACATTAAAAGGCTCTTAGTAATTATATAGCATATTTTGAGACATGAACTAATTGTTGAGACCTAATGGAACAATATAAGCTTGAAGCTAATTATGCTCTAGCAATCAACATAGCGAAAGGATAAAATGTGCATTATTGACTTCAGAAGAGACTTTGCAATGTTCGAATAGTTACAAAATTTTATGATTTAAAGTCCTATCTTTTCCGCAAATTTGAATAAGCTTTGCAATAAGGCATCATTTATGAAAAATAAAATACTAAATTACTCAATAAAGTATGTGGAACCATCATTAGGATGAGGTCTGCATTGCCATTAGCATAATACTTATCAGGGGGTTTCAGGGTCCCGTGTCTCGAAACCTATGGGGTTCATGCGATGATTCTCTCAGTGTTTGTTAGTTTTCTTGATTTATATTCTCTTTATCGATTAATGAGACTTGAACATCAGTAAACTATAGTTGCCATCATTCATAACAACCAAAGAAAAATTTACAATTTTCAGTTGTTTTTTTCAAATTTTATATCCAAGTAACACCTCCCTCTACAAATAAGTATACAAGACAAATCTTGTCATGCAGTAAGCTAAGAGGTCCTGTACTTTCTTGAAGAAAATATGTTTGATATAAAAGACCAGTTCAATATTAAAACCATTTGCAGTTTCAGAATCTAATGCATTCTAGGTAAAATTTTCACAAGAGTACACCAAAACGTTGTGATTGGTTAAAAATGTCAAAAAACATGGAATTTCAACCAATGATGTAACGTTATTTTCATTTAGGGGTACAAACAATGAGGTAACCCATAGCCCTTTAGTTCTATAAAGGCGAATTGAAAAGTATAAAAAATTCAAGTTTAAAATATGGGACCTTTTCTACCAAATTACACTTAAAATAACTACTCCCTATTCCAGAAATTATTAAAAGACATACCAATGGAAAATTTAGTTAATCAATTAAAAGAATTTATTTCAAAGACTTTATATATTGTGGCAATATCCTCACTATGTAGTCCATGCTAAGGCAATGGCTGTCTCCTATGCATTTATTTTAATAAAATGAGTTCTAAAAAATGCAGTTCATGATTTGTTGCAGCCATTCTTTTAGGTCCCCTGCAATTTTACAATGCATTGCTTCTTTAATATATAAAGTCTTTGAAAGAGTACAAGTAACTAGATAAAACCAATTAACTCGAAGAATATCTTTAATATACCTCAATGAACAAAGTATTAGCTGTTAGTTTTAGTGGAAACTTTCAGTAAGTGATCTGAAAGTTTTTTCTATAACAAGTAGTATGCAAATGAGTATTTTTTTTCAGAATGATTTGATGCTGTATACCTGTTTCCTTTGTTAACTGTTATCATAATACTCCCATGCAAACTTTGTATTCAATTTTTGCATGCAGAAGTATATGTCCACTATAAAATGAATCCATTAAATCATGAATATAACATTTAGCACAGCAAAATTTTAATTTTAAGTAAAAAATAAGTCACTAACACTGAATATAAGACCATCCATGGTTACTACTACTAGTACTCTATTTGCACAAAAGCCACATACGTCTATATCTTTAAGTACGAGAGACAAATTGAATATTAGGTTTACAGTTGGCCACTGACGTTTCACTATAGCAAGTTGGTTGCACAAGCCTGTAAACTAGTACACTGTATCTCATATAAGCCTGTTAAAACAAACGTTAATTTCTTGTGTTTGTATTGTACCTTCCATTATATTGTTTAATAGAATAACATTGGATTGATTTGTTTATCCTTGTTTAAAGGGGCAAACTCCTCATTATGTCACCTTATGAAGCAGAGGGTATAGTTCATGCTAGCTTTTGCAGACTCCACAGTGAGCTGCAGATTTTTATCTGTATATTTTGGATAAAGTTACCTATACACCTAACCAGTATCTTTATTTTTTATTCTAAGACCAATTTTATTTTAACCATCTAGCAGCAATTTTAAACTCAAATTCAAAATATTTGAAAAAGATGTGTTTCCCCTCTTCCAGTTTAAAGCATTATTCTCAACTAAAGCCAATGAGTCTTTATTCTTACTCCTAATAGCTAAGCTCTTGCAGGAAATCTGGAAGTCCAAATACTGGTCTTTGGTTTACCTGGATACAATTAAATTCAAAACATCCTGATACCCAGTCTTTTTTGACAAGTTTGATAATACTTAATTGTTGTTAACATTTGTATATTACCAAAGGCATATTGAACATTTAACAGGGAACCAACCTAAAATGTCCTAATTTTGAGGTCAGTGTTGTACCAGATTACAACCGTAGTAATTCCATAACCACAGCAGTAGTCAAAGTTCAATTATTTTGTTGAAGGAGAAGGCTTAAATAATGTATGAAGAGTGGTTGTTTTGGCTAATTGATGGCCACTGTCACCCACATATCATATTCAATTCCATTTCCAGTACCCTATTTAAAACCAAATCCATAAAATCAGGTGTAAAAAAGTCAAATGAACCTTAATGTTTGCATTGACCTTTGTTACCATCCAATAAAATGAACCTTAATGTTTGCATTAACCTTTGTTACCATCCAATATATCACTGAATAAAGATGATGATGATGGATGGCTGCTTAACATCCAGCGGCAAATTAATATGCATATTCAGGACGAGAACATGTTAATGTAATATGAAATTTAGCCCTGCTTTGTACTAGACTGACACGCTGAGCTGGATTTTTAACGTGCTAGTTCACAAGGTAACAGTCCGCAGGAAGATATGTCACCTTACCTGGACACATTATTCTGACTCCAGGCTAACCAGTCTTTGCTCTTACTCCTTAATGCCGCGTGCTTAGTGTAGAAGCAGCAAATACCAATTTTAAAGTCTTTGTTTTAACCCGGCCGGGGTTCTAACACACGACATCCCGCACTCAAAGGAACACACTACCACGAGACCACCAAGGCGGTCCACTGAAATAAAGAGCTGCGCCATGAGCGCATGATATGCCTGTCACTTTTTCAATGAATAAAGTTCCATAACTCCTCAATGTCATATCTGAAATTAATAAAAAAAACTAAAGGGAGCTTGTTTTAATTGATATAAACCAGTCATAAAAGTTTCAAGAAAACTGCTTAAAGCATTTTTTTTATAAATAAAAACCAATAACTCCGAAACATAAAATCGAAAATTTATAAAAATCGAAAGGGAACTTACGTCAATAGATATAAACAATTACTAAAGTTTGATAAAAATTGATTAAAGTGTTTTTGAGTTATTGTCTGAAAAACTGGAAACTCCCCCCTTTTTTAATAAATAAAATCCAATTTCTCGGAAACGTAAAATCCAAAATTTATAAAAATCGAAAGGGAGCTTACGTCAATAAATATAAACAATTCACCAAAGTTTCAAGAAAATTGGTTATAGCATTTTTGAGTTATTGTCTGACATGTTGACGACGGATGGACAGACAGACGGAGGGACAGATGGACGGACGAACAACAGTATACCATAATACGTCTTGTAAACGGGCATATAAAAATATTATCATTCAAATAACTATGAAATAAAAACAACATAACACGAAAATACATTTATACATATACATCGCAAATCAAATATCGTTTAATTTTTAATATTCAAAAATGCAAAATCTTTAAAATATAATAAACATAAAAATGCTGATTATTAATTGATTTTTAACTTTTTTAATATCCTTCTCCCTTCTTCTCTGAGGTATTGATTTTTCATTAATATGTTTATAATATAAGCACATGTATGTTATGTTGAAATAATTCATTTATTTTGCTTAACAAATAACAAATATATAGTAATCATTGTACCAATAATGTAAAACAACTTTTAAAAAATACCTTTTTTTATGATAATTTCACCAGAAAATTAAATTGTGAGTTTCAGAAGTAGAAAAATAACATGCTTTATAACAGTATCTAGACATTTTTTGTCAATTCATCAAATACAAATAAGGCATCAAAAGTGCACATAAAAAACACTGACTTTGTGTAAATTAATTTTTCAATGTTTTTGGTACTAATTTTCTTGGATTTTGTTGTTACAAGTGAACTAGGGATGTTAGTGTTTAAGTAAACCTAAATTTACTTTACGTTTGAAATCAAGCATGTACAAAAATTCAGTTTTACTTTGATCCACAACAATTTAAACTCACAAATATTAATAAATCCTCAGTACATATACCTTTATCATGATTCCAATAAGAAACTTTTTTTTTTAAAACAAGCGACATTATATGAAATATTTACACATTATAATTATCATGATCTCCTTTATCAACAATAATAATAATAAAAACTATCACAGCTAACAAATCATTTATTGTTAAAAAATTATCTCTTTCCATAGAGAGAACTGAATATAAATAAAACAATTACTTCCTATTTTAGCTCAGTTTTCTGTAAATAAACAGCTGCATCAAGAGCCATGACATGTATAATTGAAATTGTCACATATTTCATAATTGGATGTCACTTACCAGTGGAATAACACATCTGAATATCTTCAAAATCAAAAGAGGTCATGTCACCATGCAACGAAAAAGTACATGTTAATATCAAAAACACACATTTCAAAGAAAACTAAGTTAACATGAAAAGTGCTGATAATCCTTGAGTGTAATTACTAAAATCTGAATGCTTTCACAATGGAAAATAAGATTGTCTTTATAATGGAATCAATCATTGTGTGAAAAATTCATACCAATTACTTATAGCAAACTTGGATCATCTCTAGACCTGCTAGGACAACCAGACAATGGAATATCATTATAGGTCTGTCATTGATGGGTGTATAAAAACATAAGTAAACTATAAATGTATAGGTAATTCCTTATCTAATTATATGTCTGTCACTGACGGGTGTATAAAAACATAAGTAAACTATAAATGTATAGGTAATTCCTTATCTAATTATAGGTCTGTCATTGATGGGTGTATAAAAACATAAGTAAACTATAAATGTATAGGTAATTCCTTATCTAATTATAGGTCTGTCACTGACGGATGTATAAAAACATAAGTAAACTATAAATGTATAGGTAATTCCTTATCTAATTATAGGTCTGTCATTGATGGATGTATAAAAACATAAGTAAACTATAAATGTATAGGTAATTCCTTATCTAATTATAGGTCTGTCACTGACGGATGTATAAAAACATAAGTAAACTATAAATGTATAGGTAATTCCTTATCTAATTATAGGTCTGTCACTGACGGATGTATAAAAACATAAGTAAACTATAAATGTATAGGTAATTCCTTATCTAATTATAGGTCTGTCACTGACGGATGTATAAAAACATAAGTAAACTATAAATGTATAGGTAATTCCTTATCTAATTATAGGTCTGTCACTGACGGATGTATAAAAACATAAGTAAACTATAAATGTATAGGTAATTCCTTATCTAATTATAGGTCTGTCATTGATGGATGTATAAAAACATAAGTAAACTATAAATGTATAGGTAATTCCTTATCTAATTATAGGTCTGTCACTGATGGGTGTATAAAAACATAAGTAAACTATAAATGTATAGGTAATTCCTTATCTAATTTAAGATTTCACCAGGTCTTTCCTTGACACAAGCAAAAATAAGAGTGCCTATAGTAGAGTAGGAACTGCTTTTCCTTCTGGAGTACAAGAATTCACATTCCCCCAGTTTTGAGCGGATTCATGTTATTAATCTTTAGTTTTCTGTGTGATGTAGAATGTTGTTTGCCTTTTTTTCTTAAGAGGATGGTGTTATCTGTCCTTAAACTTTTAATATTTACCTGCCCTTCTACATCTTCCTCACTTTTTATGAGAAAACTTTTACAAAATCACATTATTAGGAAATAACTAACAAGACAAATAGAAGCTTCATTGCTTCATCCAAAACCTATAACTGGTCTATAAATATCAACATAGAAGCTTAATTAAACTCTGAATAGTAATGACAATGTTATCAATCTGAATAAGATAAAAAAAAATATAGACTTGGCACACTGCTTATCATTAAAATACACTTTTTAATGTATTTTTTGTAATATATACTTGTTCATTAAATATACAATCTCAATGATAAAAGAACTGTTTTGAAGCAAACAAAATGAGGTGGACAGTTGTCTTCTTAATGCCACTTTACCATTGAGGTAATACCAGTGTCTTCCGTATACTATATAGATAATATAATTGAATAACCTTCTCTTCACTGACTAGAAGACTGGTAGAAGTCACAACACACTATATCAATCTGATGTAAAAGCTTGGATTCCTGTGATAGCTCTTCCCAATATCAATGCATGTATGTCATGAGTACCTAACAAAACAATAAAAAAAAACTGAAATTGAGTTTTCAACTTCTTTCAAATATCTCATATAGAAATGAATTTTCTAATGTCTGTTGAAAGCCAGTATACTTATATACATCACTACTGCTCTGAACTTTAAAACAATATGGAAAAAAACACTGGCAAAACAATTTCTTAACTAAAAAAAAATTAAGCTATAAAACAGCTTTATTCACAGAAAATTTTAGTAATTGAAACTACATTTAACAGTTTATGCTCTAGTTATAATTTTATGTTGAACAATTTGTTTTTGTTTTTTCATTAATAGATTTTTGTCAGTTGTATACTATACTAACCTTCGTATGTATTGACAGCTTCAAGGTTCATCACATGTCTAATCACATGATATTCATCTGAGATTCCATTTCCACCAAGCATGTCTCTTGCCAAACGAGCTATGTCTAAAGATTTACCACATGAATTTCTCTTTATCATAGAAATCATTTCTGGTGTAGCCCTGGAAAAAGGTTAGATATGTCTTAATACTTAAACAATTAGTTTTATTAAGAAAGCACAGACATGAAGAAAATGTCCAGGATGGAAAATTCAACTACTGTTAACCAACTTATTTTCGCAAATACTTTATTTCGCGTTTAGCACTTCGTAGCCGACTTCACGGCGATTTATTTTCGCGATTTTTAAATTATTTTGATGTATTTATATAAAGGAAGATAAAAGTTTAACAAATTCGTGAAGATTTATATTTGCGTTATTTTTCAACACGCAAAAGTCGCGAAAAATAAGTTGGTTTACAGTATCTGTTACACGTATGTAGTATGTAGTTTATGTATGCAGCCACACTGCTTGATATTTATTTAAGTGTGAGCATAAACAGCCACAGGGAAGGACACTTTTATGATGCCATCTTACATGCTAAATCAGGCAATCTTTCTTTTCATTTATACCTTTCACAATTTTGCTGCCATAAAAGAATACATTTATCTGAATGTACTGTCAATTTAGAAATTAAAGTTATGTTTATTTTTATACAATACATATGTCAGAAATCAATGTTGTGTTTACATTTATACAATACATGTGTCAGAAATCAATGTTATATTTATTTTTATACAATACATATGTCTGAAATAAATTCCATTACTTTATGGCAGCATAATGCTTGGCAAGACCATAATGCTTGGCAAGACCATAATGCTTGGCAAGACCATAATGCTTGGCAAGACCATAATGCATGGCAAGACCATAATGCTTGGCAAGACCATAATGCTTGGCAAGACCATAATGCTTGGCAAGACCATAATGCCTGGCAAGACCATAATGCTTGGCAAGACCATAATGCTTGGCAAGACCATAATGCTTGGCAAGACCATAATGCTTGGCAAGACCATAATGCCTGGCAAGACCATAATACTTGGCAAGACCATAATGCTTGGCAAGACCATAATGCCTGGCAAGACCATAATGCCTGGCAAGACCATAATGCTTGGCAAGACCATAATGCCTGGCAAGACCATAATGCATCAGCAAAATCTTTTAGCTTATTTTGACAAAATTGAACCAAACTGACTGTTAAAACTGAATTATTCTTTTCAATAGGCTGTTCTTGTACCGGTAAATGTTTGATTAAAAAAAAACATACCTTAATTTTTCAACTAACTGACAAAACTGTAGCTAATGCCACTTTAAAGGCTTGGGAAACATAATTTTTTAGAAAATATTCATTCATTCTTGTTGAATAACCCTGTGCCATATTATGTTATTATAGCCGACATACTTTCCTTGATCCTTCAACCTGCCAACTTGTACACAGATCTGTAATCCTAAAGAATAGTGTCTCAATATGTGACTTACTTTCCTTGATCCTTCAACCTGCCAACTTGTACACAGATCTGTAATCCTAAAGAATATTGTCTCAATATGTGACTTACTTTCCTTGATCCTTCAACCTGAATCTGCCAACTTGTACACAGGCCTGTAATCCTAAAGAATATTGTCTCAATATGTGACTTACTTTCCTTGATCCTTCAGCCTGCCGACTTGTACACAGGCCTGTAATCCTTAAGGATATTGTCTCAATATGTGACTTACTTTCCTTGATCCTTCAGCCTGTCGACTTGTACACAGGCCTGTAATCCTTAAGGATATTGTCTCAATATGTGACTTACTTTCCTTGATCCTTCAGCCTGCCGACTTGTACACAGGCCTGTAATCCTTAAGGATATTGTCTCAATATGTGACTTACTTTCCTTGATCCTTCAGCCTGCCGACTTGTACACAGACCTGTAATCCTTAAGGATATTGTCTCAATATGTGACTTACTTTCCTTGATCCTTCAGCCTGCCGACTTGTACACAGGCCTGTAATCCTAAAGAAATCTCTGTTAACATATCAGCCATTTTTTTCTGTATCAACTGATTCTTGGCCAAAGGTTTTTTGAATTGAATTCTAAAATTAAAATATTGAATATATATATATATATATGTAGGACTCGGAGGTGCGATTGGGACGCTGAAGTGTGATGGTCTACGCCGAAGTGTGATGGTCCTTTCGCTGATGTGCGATGGTCTCTAAGATGCATGATCACTATAGTTAAAATCTACAGATGTTGCAGTAAAAACTATCTTGTTCCTTGTTCTCATTCACAGCAGACATATAGATTTTCTGCATATTTTGTTCCATTCTGACTAATCAAGTAGTATTTGCATTTCAAATAAATACTAAGTTTTTCAGTCTATGCAATAAGTACTGGTTTTAAAGGAAAATAACCTTTTATGTAGCGTTTATAGTGGTCAATATATAAACGATTGTATAAACAATAATAAATAATTGTTTTTTTGTCTGAAGCTATTTACAAAGTACACTACAACGTTAAAGTTAGGACTGTAAATGCAATGAATATTTATTATGACTGTTTTAAATTAAACAAGTTATACTCTCGATGTTTTTCCTTAAAAAAAACTGAAAAGCTTCTTCCAACAAACAAATTGAGTTCTACATTGACATGTGAACATTGATTTATGTAATCCACCGCACTTCAGCCTTACCACTATCGCACTTCAGCATAGCTATCAACAAGATAGCGTCACAATCACACTTCAGCATCAAACCATCGCACTTCAGCGTGACCATCACGGTTCAGAGTCCTACATATATATATTGTTTAAAGCTTCAACAATATTGACACTTGTGATTGGTACTTAAATACGTTTGTACATTTAACATTTATACATTTACTGTTTTGAAAGCGTAAATGCTACTAGAAAACTATTGCATAATTTAGTACTAATCGATATGTTTCTTGATTGCGCTTGAAACAGTCTGGAGTTTGAATATTATGTAAGATAATAATTTGTGCTATTTTGAAATTCACAGAAAATGTGTCGATTAATTATCACAATAAATCTGAGAAACAAGAATTAAGAAAATCTTTTTATCTGCATCATGACAAATGAAGATTTAGATTTTAATAGAGTTTTTAGTCTGTATCTAAATTAAATTTTCCAGATCAGACAGGAAAAAAGAGACACAAGTTTAGGTAAACAAATGGAGTTATCCCTCTTTGTACAAGCTCTCTCCCCTCATGTATACAAGTTTTTAATCATGTTTCCATATTTGTTCTTAAACATTTTTAATTATTAACAATCAGTATGTATGTTAGATTACATGTGTTGCTTGTGTGGATATTGTATGAACTTTGTGATTTATATTGATTTATATGCTCAATATGGGCCCTTTAATTAGGAATAAAGACATTTGATTTGATATATTAACATTTCTCTTGGTTACCTGTCTAATGTATATTGCCTGGCTGTTTCCAAACAAAACTCTGCTGCCCCTAATGTCCCCCAAGCAATACCATAGCGTGCACTGTTCAAACAACCAAAGGGACCCTGAAAAGTAACATCAATGTAAATCATTACATGGAATTGATAAAGTAAAGCAACGTTTAGATAACCATGGTTAAAGTAAATCTTGAAAATTTGTTCATATATATCTGAGAGTAATGTAGTGCTAAAACTACTCTAAATGTAATGACAAAAGGTCTTCTTTTTTGTTGAAAATATGATATTGATAATTCATTTGTGTTTCAAAAATTGATATTTTTATGCATTTCAGTGCTGTCAGGGACCACTTAATACAGATTATGTTCATCTTTGATTATTTTACTTTAGTCTTCCAGAGTTATGCCCCTTGATTGCAGAAAATGAATCATGCAAGGATTTCAATTAAATAACTGAAGTTGGCCTTAAAGAAATCTTTTGATGACACCTATTTCAGGAACCATTCAATACAGGTCAAGTTCAACTTTCATGTATTTCATGATTTTTTTTATTAAAGGGAAAGTTGTTAGAGAGGGACACTTTATATCATAAAGGATGGAGGATCTTGACTTTTCCTACTATATACTAAAACTGTGATTTCCTACTAAAATTGTATAGAGTTTAAATTTTGCTTAATGAAGGGACTTTAGTGTGGTACGACAAAATTACAACTTGTTTTAATGGTTATTTATAATAAAATAATTGTAAAAGATTTAGACAGTAATTTTGTTTATGACCCACCCTCTATACTAACACAGAATAAAACTAGAAAACCTACCCCTAGTCCCATGACATTTGGTAGCATGTTTTCTTCAGGTACTTCTACATCTTCCATAGAGATCTGTCCTGTTATACTGGCCCTCAATGAAAACTTGCCTTGAATCACTGGAGCTGTTAATCCTTTCATTCCTTTCTCTAATATAAATCCTCTGATTTTGTTATTGTCTCTATCACACTTACCCCACACAATGAATACATCTGCAATAGGTGAGTTTGTTATCCTGGAAAAACAAATAAGTTTTACTTTAGAACATGTACAATGTCATCAATAAACATAAAATAGTCCTGTTCTATCAGGACCAGAACCTTGCTGATGGGGGCTTGCACCATGGAAAAAAATAGTTGAGTTGTACAGGTTTGTATATTTGAGGGTCTCTGTGGCCAGCGGGATGTGGGGATTCATTTCTATATTCTTAAATTTTGAGGCCATTTTCCTCTAACTTTTATAAATTATTACCCCTTTATTCTCAATTCTTTAAATTTTGGCACCCCTATGGCTTTATTCTCTATTTTTAATTTTTTGGTCCTAATTTTCTCTAATCTGTACTTTTTGGACCATTATTTTCTTTACTGTTACTCCATCAAGACCCTGCATATATGGTAATTAAAACAAGCAAAATATACATAATTTAAAGAAAACAGTACAGCCTTCAACAATGAGCAAATCTTTTGGAACACAAATTATCAGTCTATCTCATGTGTATGAATAGTTTTGCCATGACTTACCAAGATTTAGTTCCATTCAATGTGAAGGTTTTACTGGATGGATTGTATCTGGCTTTAGTTTCCATAGATGAAGGATCACTTCCATGGTTAGGTTCTGTTAATCCAAAACACCCGATTAGCTCCCCTTTTGCTGGAAAAAAATAAGTATCTTTTCTAACAATTTTTAAATGTATTTATATCTTTTAAAATATCATACATAAAACATGTAAATATGAGGATATGTAGTACCAAAGGACAGGATGAAAACAGGTAAAGGTCAATAGTTGTTTTAAACCAAATTTCTGATAAACAGTATATCAGTTTGCACCAACAGGGCAACGTCAGGGACCCAGTGCCCCACCCTAAATCCTCCTCTGCAGCAACTCAGCCATAACTAATCACTTAGTTCTTTAGTTGTGATAAAAATCTTGTACTTGTCTACAAGTATCTCATTTTGGTACTTTCCTTCAAACGTATCTAATTTTATGCTTGTCTACCAATATATCAAATTCTGTACATGCCTTTAAGTGTATCTATTTTTATCTTGCCTACAAATGTATCTCAGTTAGCACTTGCCAACAAATGTATCTAAATTGTACTTGCCTACAAATGTGTCTCATGAGTACTTGTCAAAAAATTAATCTTATATTGTGCTAGTCTACAAATTTATCTAATTTTGTACTTGACTATAAATTCATTTAATTTTGTACTAGTCTACAAAGAAATCTAATTTTGTACTGGCCTTCAAATGAATTTTACTTTGTACTTGTCTATAAAATGTATCTTATTCATTATATATCAGTCTTACCTAATCTAGGTAAGTATTTTTGTTTCTGTTCTTCTGTACCGTATTCGTTTATTGGATGCATAACTAAGGAAGACTGGACACTCATAGCAGATCTGTAACCACTGTCTACCCTAGAAAAGCAAATATATTACATGGAAGTATGAATACATATTGTAGAGAAAAGATAACCAAAGCATCCTCTGGCATGGTCAGCTGGAATAACGTAACAAAGAAGAAATTGGGCTCCAGTAGGGTATACCCCCCACCCCCTTTTTTTAACATAAAAGGTCACCTTTAAATATGCCTAATTTCACCATGTCACATTTAAGAAAATAAAACGTTTTAATAAAACGATTATGGACATTTGAATGTCACCTGTTCCTTTAATTTAGACGTCAGGTTGCAAGGTCGCCCACCAAATCCCCAAAGTTGCAGTTTGGATTTGACCATGTTTGATCCACAATAATGAGATTAATCATTTATTTAGCTTTTATTTTTGTGAATGTTCAACAACTGATGATACTTTGAGAATATTAAATGTGATCCCAGCACATACTTTTATAGAATATAAAAATCAAAAGTTAAAATGTGAGGTTTAAGTTTAAGTAATTTGATATTCATAAATCATCCTGCCCCACTTTTCACTTCAATTAAAAACTTTGTATAAAATTCTTTATATACAGAACTATATCCACAGTAAGATTATCCTGTGATAGCATAAGGCTAGTTATGAACCTGAAAATACACTTTTATAGCATAAGGATGGATTCCAGTCTAAAAATAAACTTTATATATCCAGATCCATTTTTTGCCTCTAGTGTTAACCTAATAGATTTGATTTTTAACAACATTTCATATTATTGTATGTAAAATATGACGTGCCTCAACATTCCCTCTAATTAAATTTAGAATATTAACAATAATGTAAAAACATTTTATCACCAAACTTTCAAGAATAATTGTTTATTTTTTATGTAATCCAAAGGCAATTATTCATTCTTCTGAGTAAAAGGTTTTGTTCCACAAAGAGAATGTTCACATAGCTGTATTATGGGTAACCAGTTCTAACATCTTACCTCTCTACTTCCCTGGCTATGAGACCATAAGCTACAGATGACACTCCAGCACAACCATAACCATGTATATGTGGTCCAAGCACTCCTATAGACCCCATTTCTGGTATAATCTCTCTGTCAAATTCTTAAGATAAAAGGTATGTAAAGTCATATTTGTATGTCACAACTGTCAAACTTATCACGACTATCTCAAAATCCTGTTAAAGGTTTAATACGTTTTTTTAGAAACATGAAAAAAGAGACAGGATTGAAAATGGTGAATAAACACAAGATATGCATGAAGAAGCAATCAATGAATTAAAACAGTTTTACTAATAACAAATGATTATATTGTTCTTGAAAATGAGCAGGTTGTGATGCTCATTTTTTTTAAAGATTTTTATATGATTTGTGATATTTGTCCTTCTCTCAATCCAGATTTCCTCTGTGACCACTGACTAAACTTTTCTATTGGTCCTTTTTTTCTTTACTCATTCTTTGCAAGTCTAGCTTTGAACAGTGTCATAAATAGCATAGAAAGCACACATAATAAAATAATTGGGGAATGTGTCCATTGGACACAGATGATGCCCCTGCTTGCATATCATAATGAAGTTATAAAGGGACATAACTGAAGAAAAGTAAAAGTGACGCTACCCAAATTTGTATCTGATCTGAGTTTTGTGGTAATAATTATCGTGTATAAGTCTCATAACATTTGGTTGTGGCAAACTTAAGTTAGAGAACAGAAACGAAAAATTCAGCAAATTTTCCATTTGTAAATAGGCATAACTCAAGAACGGTAAAAATTAAGCCACCCAATTTCAAACTTGATCTGTATTTTATGGTAATAAGCATTGTGTATAAGTTTCATAACATTTGGTTGAGGCAAACTAAAGTTAGAGAACTGAAACAAAAAATTCAGCAATTTTTATGTTTAGAATGGGGCATAACTCAAGAACGGTAAAAGTGACACCACCCAATTTCAAATTTGATCTGTATTTTATGGTAATGAGAATTGTGTATAAGTTTCATAACATTTGGTTGAGGCAAACTAAAGTTAAAGAACGGAAACCAAGGCAACTTTGGGACGTACGGACGGACATACAGACGGACAAGGGTAAAACTTAATGCCCCCTCCGCTACGGCAGGGGCATAAAAAAAACATTCCAACAAAAATACAGTATTCTTTAAGGGCAACCTGCATTCTTGGATGTTGATATAGATTATAATGAGCTTTTATAAAGACTGCTAACATTTCAATATGGTACACTGAAACTTAAAACAATTACAAAATAGAATTCACCAATTTGTGTACATGTATGTACATATCTCATAATAATCAGATAATCTCATTATTTTATTTTTACTTTCATTTCTGTTTGCCATGAGGACTCTTGGCATTAACCTGTCCTGACAGTAGGCCCTGAACTGGTCCCGTACCAGTATCTCATCTTCTAATAATAGATTCTCCAGATTTAGTGCATCCTGCCAGTTAAAGGTCGCTGCAACAAAATAAATTTGTAAATAAACTAAAAAATATTTTCTTTGGAATCAAGAATACTTAGTTTTTTTTAATCTTGCCACTATGTTTATCATCATTGCATTGAAATCCCAAGATTATATAAAATAAGAAGATGTGGTATGATTGCCAATAAGACAACTCTCCACAAGAGACCGAATGACACAGAAACTAACAACTTTAGGTCACCGTAGCACCTTCAACAATGAGCAAATCCCATACCGCATAGCCAGCTATTAAAGGCCCCAAAATGACAAATGAAAAACAATTCAAACGAGAAAAACTAACAGCCTCATTTATGTACAAAACAATGAACTAAAAACAAATATGTTACACAGCAACAAACGACAACCACTGAATTACAGGCTCCTGACTATGCCTGTATTTACCATCTTTCCAAAATTCCTTAGATTTTGCGAAAAAATACAAATTTGTATTTCTTTTTGCTCTATACATGTATGGATAGGAATTTGCTGCAATAATTCAGTTGACAATAAAATTCTAATTCAAAATTTAGTGTTGAAGTGCATCTTGTATGATGGAATGGCCCCCTCGATACATTTCTGAAAAAAAACATTCTATCTGGTGTCAGAGGATAAAAGTATTTGAATATATTATTTATGGACTAGAACACTTGATAGTGAACTATTGATACATGTTACATAAATCTTTGTCAAAATTCTTTCAAAATACCATTTTAAAACATTATCACATTTTGAATGCTGTTATCACACAACACTAACATTGAAGGTTTGTTGAGAGATTCCTTCAGGTCTTTTTACCATGCTTTTTTTCCCATTGTGTGGGATTGAAATTCCAACTTGTTTAAAATAATGCATTTCATTGGTGATAGTACTTGAAATTTTGCTTTGATTGTAATGGTGATAAAAATGATGTTTCTATCTTTAGAAACACCACTAACACATAACACTGTTTAAAGTTTTTTTTTTGGCTTATATCAATGTTAGAATATGATAAACAGGTTTTATAAATTTGGTTTTTCTCATCTTTGAGGAATACATTTTGCCAAGTTATATTTGAAAAAATTACTTATCCAATATCTTAAACAGATAATCAATGTCAGCTTTGTTATTTTTAATGAACATTATGTATTGTTGTATGTTCGCTATGTCTAATCATGTAAACAAAACCTCTTGCTAGTACATGTAGCATTTATAGACTACTGCAATATAATTACATACCTTCAGTTTTAACATTATCTTTAGTTTGAGTTTGTGGTTCTGTAGCTTAGTTAAGGAAATATCCATCTTTTCACAGAAAATATAATTCACAGTATATAAATACATACAGATCAAGTACATGTATAATCATGATAATAATATTATTGAATATTTATAAATAATTGTAAAATTTTCTTTTGAAACTCCCTCTATAACATCTGTGCTTAGTCTATCAACACAAACATGACAAAGAGATTCCAAAAAAATTGTTTCAAAATAAAATTACCATATATAACATTATATATATATTAAAACACTACAATAAATAATATAAAAATATCTGAAAATTACACACAAAAAATATGTGAATTAACCATTTTTTCAAAGAAAATATATTTCTCTGTATAAAACATGTTTAATGAGAACTTTTCGATTAAATCTTTTTTTTTTTAAATTTACCAAAAAAATGTTTTTACCAACAACAAAAAAACTCAAACAAGCAGAAAAATTTTATAAACCAATACATAATGAATATCATATCATCATATATTTCATGCAGAGAGAACCATATCATTACTTTCACCTCATATATTTAATTCTATACATCTGCAAAATTACTTTTAATCTGGCATCTAAAACAGATTCTAAATTAGATACTAATGACTTAAAAAGCATATTGTGTAACGCCATATACTGGTCTTCCCATTAACCAAAATCAGAAATATAAGAAGAAAGTGTCTGAGGACACAAATGCCCCCGCTAAAGTTAGCTTATAATACGTGAAAATACTTTTGGGACGGACAGAAGGAGTCTTAGGACGGACGGAAAGACGGACAGTCAAGGGTGACACTAATGCCACCTTCAACTAGTGGCAGGGGCAAAAAAAATTCAACATGTTGAAATTGCAAGATCCAACAAGTGTCTATCAAACATCTAAATTACTAATGAAGTCAAGAGATGTGCATTGAGTTGTGTAATAAGTTTTGTTTACAAGTAAATTATTACTAAGGTTAAGATGCTGAGGTTATTTATACTGGTATATGCAGCTGTTAATTGACATAGATAAAAAGTATTCTCCATACATTTCACTTAAAATGTTACAGTACAAATAAGAATTCTGTAGGATATAAAATTCTCCTAGTACAAATCAGAATTCCAATATCTACTCAGGTCATGCTGGTAGAAATCAGGATATTTAGATTTGTACTAGAGGGATCCTGGATTGTACTAGATGATTACTGGGTTATTTAAATTATTTTGTACATATAAATTAAAAAATAATGGTAGAATTGATTTTAAAAAAATAACCAGGGGAATAAAGTCATCTAAAAAATGTTTCGATTTCATTGGATGGCTGGGACAAGGCCCACTTTTTTGTTTTGTTTACCTTATGAAATCTGTTATCAAAGGATACGAGCAGTTCCTTGGCATCTACATGAGATGGCTGTAAATTTGTGTCGTATTATATTCGAAATACGAAATCTTGAAGCTATAAACGCCATTTCCACTATAATAATTCTTTAAAGTTTCGTAAGAGGATAAAGCTATCTGACCTTGAACTTCTGAAAAATTGTCGCGGAACAAAAATAATATATTCTGTACATAATATATAGTAAACACAACCACCTGTATATTGATGTGATTCAAACAATTCGCAAAAAAATACATTTAATTTCTTATTTTGCAGAAAAAATCTTTTGAAGACACCACTTTTACAGGACCGCAGAAACGCATGAGCGAGAACATGGCTGAACTTGAAGTAGTTTTGCAGCATGTTGATAAAAAGGGGCATATAAATTCTCTTGAGCTAGCAACCGAGTTGAAAGAAGACCACCAAAAAATTGTTGGGGCCATAAAGAGTCTTCAGTCCTTTGGAGAGGTGATACCTTAATTCGAAACCAATAAATTATAGTGCTGTAAGCGAAAATATAGGAAGGCATATCAGATCAGACAGATGATGCAATAAATGAATCATTATTCTGTTATTATAAATGTGTATATTTCCTTATATTTTAAGGGATCCAACTGCATGTAAGGTTGTATGCTTCAATTTTCTAACCAGAATTGTAGATTGCTATATCATGTATATGCTGTTTCTCTTGCAAGCATGCATCATTAGGTTGGGGTGCAAGACAACTTGGGCTCCGAAGACCACTCAGACAATCTATGAAATTAACTTGGTCCGTCAATTAATCAACTGGGAATGCCTGTTATGCCAATTCAAACAAAATATTAAAACAGGTTGGGTATTGAACTATTCACCATATGAGTATAACAATCCAATATATGAGAAATCATTTAATAGTGCTAAAAACAAAATTTTCTTAACTGAGTCTTTTTTATTTAAAATGGCATGTATTTATAAAGAATGCAGCAAATTTTCCAAAAGACAAATAGCCCCAACCTGATTTACTGAGAAGTTGTAAGCTTCAGAAAACTTCTAGAAATTGACTATTTTCAAGGCGACTAACTTTTTAAAAACCCAAAATAAAATTATGTTTCTTTGGAAGAAGTTGTTCCATTTTCTATAAATGTGTGCCATTTTAAGTAAAAGCACCCAGTTAAGAAAATTTCCTTTTTAGGCCAAAAAAAAATATATGTCTGTTTAAGGTTACATACTTTTAAAAAATAGGGTAGGTACAATGTAGGTCGGTATTTCCATTTTATTCTATTTTTTCATTTTATTTTTTGTGAAATGATTTTGAGTCATGCGGTTTCGTCTTGTCGTGGTCCAAGTTGATCAAGGGCCGAGTTTACCTGTAATTTTAATGATTGGATAATTCCCTTGGTAATTGGTTGGAAAAAAATGGCGGCAGAGTGTTAATTTCTTCACACGAGTCGCGAATTTCCTTAAAACAGCTGTCATATTCACGATTGTGAACATTGGGATGTATCAGGCAATTGATTTATATTATTTGCAACACTAACTTCGCTTTTGACACAAGTTTCACTTTAGAATGGAAATAAAATAACATAGGGTCGGCGCTCAAAAATAGGGTCGGTCAGGTAACCGTAAACAGACATATATTTTTTTTTGGCCTTGGCACTATCAAATGATTGCTCAAATGAGGGATTGATACTCATTTGGGAAATAGTTTACCATTTGGCGGGTTGCCCCCATTCTGTTGAAGGAGACTTTTTACCAAAAATTTGATTTAATGTCTGAGTGTCTTTATATATGACAAAAAAGACAACTCGGAATTGTGAGAAGTTTTACCATAATGGGGAAGAGTTTCCCATTTGGCAGGTTGTCCTCAAGCTGTTGAAGGAGACTTTTGACCAAAATTTTGATTTAATGTCAGAGTGTCTATGACAAAAAAGACAACTCGGAACTGTGAGAAGTTTGACCATAAATAAGTCATATAGTGCCAACTCAAAGTATAAAGGGAGAGTTTTGATACCTGTTTTAACCATAAATGATTAAATGAGTGTCTTTGCATTTACATAATGATTTGAGCACTGTAAGTAAAATCTAAGACATACAATATAGAAATAATTTTAAAAGTACTAAAGTTAAAACACATTAATTTATTACTTTTATGTGAAATATAACATTTAATCATTACACTCTGACATTTAAAAAGTCCAAACCCTCTTTAAATACTATATCTGAGTTTTCATTATAGACGGTTGTACAAGTTGTCCTATTTCCTTTGGTTGATGGCCACTTTTCTAAAGCTGTTCCAGAGAAAAATGTATGGGGGGTTGGAAGGCAGTTTGTTTCAGCACCTGCCACCCAGACAATTGTAATTGAGAATCATAGTGCATTGTAGTGTGAAAAGTTGCTCTGATACCCATCACCCATGTATTATTAATATAAAATGCCTTCCAACCCCTTTTTCTGGAATAGCTCTTAAAGGTAAATATATACATGATATATCCAACTGGGAATATTAAAATCATGAAAAACTCATTTCAACATTTAAGAACAATGTTTTGCAATATCCCAATATCATAACCTGATCAATTTTCCACTCTGGCAATAATTCTATCAAAAAGGAGCCAATTTGAAACAACAGATATTTCTACAATTTGCTATCATTCTCTTTTTCAAAGAGACAGTATGTTAGTGTGTGTCAGTTCAATAACTAAAAAAGATAGTGAGTAAAAGAGTTGAACTTGGCAGTTTTCAATTTATGATTGGGAACATACAATTGAGAATGGAAATGGGGAATGTGTCAAAGGGACAACAACCTGACCGAAGAGCAGAAAACAGCCGAAGGCCACCAATGGGTCTTCAACACAGCGAGAAAATCCCGCACCCAGAGGAGGGCTTCAGCTAATCCTAACCAAAAATGTGTACTAGTTCAGTGAAAATGGACGTCATACTAAACTCCAAAACATATAAATGAACTAAAATTAAAAAACATACAAGACTAACAAAGGCCAGAGGCTCCTGACTTGGGACAGGCGCAAAAATGCAGTGGGGTTAAACATGTTTTGTGATATCTCAACCCTCCACTATACCTCTAGTCAATGTAGAATAAACAAACACACAGCAATACACACAGTTAAACTCAGTTTAAAAGAAGTCCGATGTCAGAATAGGTAACAAAATACATGGTTGTCCTGATCAAGAGCACTACATGGTAGTAAACTAATATTTTTCTGTCCTCAGCATAGCTTTACATATACTATAAAACTGCATAATCCTGTATTTGCAGTTAATAAAAGCAGAACAGATAGTTAATAAAAGATGGGAATTGACTGATGAAGGAAGGGATGTTGCCACTAATGGGAGTCATGAAGCCAGGGTATACTATGCCATCCCTGATGCTGGTACTTCACAAGCACAAATTATGGTATGTATCTGCTTGCCAATACAAACTAAAGTTTTGTTTTTCTGTTAATACTTGTTTTCAAAATTTTTTATTTTATTTTTGTTAGTGGATTAAGATATTCTTGCAGTTGCTTACTGATATGTTAGTTGGGATGGAAAAGAACATATTAAGGCACTAACTGATATGGCTAACGATAATTTATATATTAGAATTATAACTTTTTATTCAATATTGTTGTAAAAAAGAAATGCATGCCTATGATGTTAGATTTTTAATCGTAAAATATGCAACCATTCCATGAAAAATTACAAGAGTAAAACATTTATCAGTCCTAATAAATGAAACACTTTTACAATAATAATATTTTGGCAATCATAATATTATCATACCACATCTCCTTATTTTATATTGTTACAAGAATGAATTTTAAACATATGTTTATTTACTGTCATTTAATGTAATCTTTCATTCATCATTCATAATCAACTTAAAATTTCCACTGCATATTTCTAATTTCAAAATCGAAAGTAGCATTATCAATTCTTGAGGAATTTGCTTTCTCGACTTCTGCTGTATATGAAATTTACAGTTTGAATAAAAGAATATTGAATTTGAAATCATCAAATATGATCAAAAACCTGTGAAAAAAATTCTCTGACCTTTGGTTACAATGTATGCTGTCAAGTTATCGCCATCTAACTGTGTTGAGAGGTTTTCTTACTTCCAAATATATCAGCAAGATTTATCCAACTTTCCATAAACTGTCGAATCATATTTTTCCACATGCATCATGGAAGACAAGTGACCACCATATTTTACCTGAATAACAAATGTTGAGTTGTTACCTAGACCAACCTTTATAGTTGATCCAAGATATGAACACATACAGTATTAAAATTTACAAAGTTTGCATTTACAGAAAACTGTACCTAATGCCAAGATTGGATTCAGTAAAGCTATGCAGGCAGGATGGATTGTGATGGATAAAAAGGCTGAAGGAGGACCCAAGGTCAACAAAAAGGTAAGATTAAAATAGAACACTGTTTTTTGTCTTACACTAATCTTCATGTCATGATTATCTGGATACCTAAAAATCCCTTCAGTGAGTTTTACTGATTGATTGACTCAGAAAATCAGCATTTATATATTCTGTCAAAATCCATTGCCATTATTGTTCTCATTGGGAATCTTAATACTGTGCAAGACCTACATTTAACATGTTGAGAGCAGCATGATCAGTTTTCAAACTTTGAACAAGATACATTAGAAATATATATTTGGATTTACTTTCATAAGTCTCTGATGAAACAATGTAAAACTCTATGAAAATTTCATCTTATTGAAAAGATCTCAAGAAGAAAAATCAAATCAAAAGAAGACTTTAATTAGCTTATCTGACCTGTTCTTTCTTTTTACAGGCTGACAGTATAGAAGATGCTATTCAGAAGAACCTACTGAAACTTCAGCAGGATCAGACAGATTCCCTAACAGATGAGCAAAAGGCTGAATACAAGAAGAGAAAACTTATAACAGAAGTGTATGTTTATAATTTATTGACATTCATAGTTAAGATTTGTTTTAATTTAATGCTTAAAAGAAAAAAAATGTTTGATAATGATGTTAATTCTTAATTTACCTGTTATTCACCTTATCAGGTTTTAAGGATTGCAATTCAGTCATTCAAAAGGAAGAAATGTATATGAGGTAATTGAAATTCAGTGAACACATGAAAAGTGGATTTGTAATTTTTGACATTTGACAAGGAATTTATTACGTAATGGCAGATCATAAAAAAACGAACAAAATAAATATAATCGATCTTTCAAAAAGCAGGGCACTGTGAAAGAGGCAATGGAAATTGGAAAAAGGGCACAGGGCGCTGCGCCCTCTGAAAACGGCCTATCTGGAACACTATTCTTCTCTTACTATAGGAAATTTTTTAATCATGACAGTATGTTGAATTCTATCATTGTTAGATGTGTTATTTGTGTAAATTTAATTGTTTGGTTTGTATTTAGATAAGCTTATTTGTTTTGATATGTTTTGTCAGTTATTAGTTTCTAAGGTTTCAGTCAGTCATGCTTCAGTGACCCAGTTTCAGTGTCGTTTTTAAGAATGATATTACGGACAACAAAAATTCACCTCATCATAATACAAGTTAACAAGATAACAAATTAAATACATCTTTATCTATGTTTTGCAGAAAAATAACCAGCTATGAGATCACAAAAGGAGATAATTTCAGTCTTACCATAGAGAAACCAGAAGTTGATCTAACGCCAGAAATGTTACAAAGGTATAAACTTTTATTTGATTTTAACTGGAATTATAAATGCAACATATATCAGCGGAGGGGGCATTAAGTGTTACCCTTGTCCGTACATACATATGTACGTCCCAAAATTGGTTTCCAATCTCTTACTTTAGTTTGCCTCAACCAAATGTTATGAAACACAATGCTTATTACCACAAATCTCAGATCAAGTACGTCACTTGTACAGTTTTCTAGTTATGTCCCTTTATAATGTTATATGCCAGCGGGGACACATTCTCCATTTATTTATATTTATTATGAACCTATAATGTATAATCGACAAATATTTCATTCACTGATTGTTGATCGCAAGCTAGTTAACTTTCGAGTTTGTTGCCGATGTTTACCAGATCGTGACATTGATAAACAATCAACACAGAGCACTTGGAGAATGTGACAAATAAGTGCATTAATAGAGCCATGATATATTGTTTTTATATTTTCTATGCGTTCCCATTTGTTAATTCAATTTTTCCTTCACAGTTGTTAAATGATTTGTTGTACTAAATTTTATCTTTAAGAATTTAGTTATTACTGTTTACCTTCCAATGCATGTTTGTTTACCATCTTTCATCATGGTTTTCCTCTCACACTTGCGCTGTACCGTGGCCGAGGTTCTAACAAGAGGTCTCAAAGTTAAGGTCACTGCATATGGAAAAATATCTTTGAATTAGTGTATGGGAAGACAAAAATACATTAGTTGTACATTTATGAAGATTTTGATAATATAAAGGGTTTTCTTTTACAAGAAAGTTCACATACACTTGTTTTATAGTATAACTTAGCCATTCAAGTATTTAAAACATATTAAACTTTTTTTTTTAAATTTGAAGTTTCATATGACTTTAAAATCCCAATATTACCCAATTACCTGTACTTTGCCTGAATACATTACCTTTTAACCTTTGTGACTGATAACATTATGAGTGTTTCAGCTTGAATCTCAGGGCAGAAGGGTGCTAGTTGACCCAAAGGGCACTTTATAGCACAATCATTCAGATTTTTAGGGCACTTGTGCAAAGTAAAATAAATGCCAAAAATACCAATTCTGATAAATCCCTTCCTATAGAAATGTACCTATACAATTAGGCAATATAAAGCATTTCAACAAATTTAACATTAGTGGACTATTAGCACATCCCCTGAAAACAAATTTCAATATTTCTAAGATAAACATGAGGCCATATTTTAAGCATATTTCTTGATGTTATTTCCATGTTTTATCACATTGAAATGAAGCAAGACACATGATAATAATGGTCATGATGGTGAAGAAGAAAAAACATCAGAATTTTCAATGTTTTGGTACTGATATACCAGTCTATATAAATGAATAGACAACTTAAATTGCTTAACAAATAATATTATTTACAGTTAAAATATTTGTGAATACATGCAAATATTGTATATTGAAAATTATTTATTTTGTTCTTAAATAAATGTTACAAGTAAGTAAGTCTAATGTGCACATCCAATTAAAGTGCTCCTTTTTTAGTAAGGAATATTATAAATATTAGAGATGAGACAGGAAGTGATGCAATCACATTGATGTTCAAAATACAATTTTTATTTAAGACAACAGGAAAATAAACTGAATATTTACTGCTTTTTCCAATTAAGTCTTTTAATATGCCTTTAATATTGTTTAATAGAACATGTGATTTAATTTAATCCTCACAAAACAAACTTAAAGTTTTCCAAATGTACATACTGTACATAAACAATTTATAAAATGGTCATCTCATTTTGCATTAAATATCTAGTATTTGTTCTATTATCTTAAATCACCTAATTAGCAGAAGCCAATCATCAACAGAAGTGGAGGGGCCTCGGTGGCCGAGTGGTCTAAGTAGTTACTACTGTAATCACTAGCCAGTCAACACTGAGGTTGTGAGTTCGAACCCCGCTCGTGCGGGTGCACTCGACTCCAATCTTAATTGACTAGGATTGTCAGTTTTCCTATCGAAGGTCGTGGTTTTCTCCGGGCGCTCCGACTTCCTCCACCAATAAAAACTGGCCGCCACAAAAATAGCCCAAAAGCGGTGCTTAAAAGTGGCGTTAAAACTCCAAAAATCAAATCAAATCAACAGAAATGGTAAAACTGCCAAAGGTTTATTATATTTGATTTTATGTCAGTGTCAATTTATTAGTCTTTTAGAAAATTAAAGCAGGTAACAAGTTGACTGGAAATGCTGATATGTAATTTGATTAAGTTTATTGTTGAAACGGCAGAAGGATGCAATTTTTTGGTTTGAGGGGCAGAAGGGAGGGGGTAAGGGCACCAAGGGCGGGCCACCCTTCCATATAGGGCAGGCTGGCACACTGATTATATATAAAAATGAGAACAAAAATTGATAAAAATATCAACCAGTACAACAGTCTACATGAACAACCAACAACTGAAATATGAGAGATACAAAGACCTACAACAAATGGTCTAGATTACCTATATAGATTCAGGCACTAAATTTGGAGTCAAACAAGTTGTACATGTGTACAGACCTCACTATCTATCTAGACTTGTAATGAACATGTATGGAATATTATTGATATTCATATAAAAGTAAGGAGGTGTGGTATGATTGCCAATGAGAAAACTATCCATTAAGATCAAAGAACAAAGATGTGAACAGTTTCAAGTCACGGTACTGCCTTCAACAATGAGTAAACCCATACAGTATAGTAAGCTATATAAAAGACCCTGTTATGAAACTTATGACAAAATGTGTGATTATTGAACTTAGACGGTATAGTGAAAAACTTTTCTTGATTTATTTTTTCTGATGTTAAGTTGACAGTCTTATAAAATATAATTTTTACATCAGTTGCAAAGGAAAAAACAATTTCCTGTTTTTACTCTATACAATTAGACTAAAAAACGTGACAAAGAGTCAAAAGATTCTTAAAATGCAGGATCAGTATAACATTCTCTTTTTCATTTCAGTGGTTCATGGAAAACTAAAAATTTCAAGGAGTATAACTTTGATGCTTTAGGTATTCCACCAAATGGTGGACATTTACATCCGTTGTTGAAAGTCAGAGCAGCTTATAGACAGATCTTCTTAGAAATGGGGTATTTACATTGTAGATCATTGAAATATTATTAAAATTCCATAAAAAGATTAACTTGATTACAAATGACACTCTTGTCTGTTTATGAATGAAAAAGACTGGAAGATTGAATATAAAATTAATACATTTCATCCAATTTAGAATGTGGAGGAAAATAACTTTTTCTTAGAATTCAGACTTACCTAAGGGAGGAAAAGTATTGAGGAAATCTGAGAAAAAAAAAGGAATCTATTCAAATATATTAAATTAAATTTAAACAACTTTGTAGATATTTTTGTTGTTGTTGACATGTTTATTTGTAGAAGACAGCCTCTAAGGAGTACATTATTTTATAGTTCAAAATGTTAAGATAAAAAAGAATGGACTCAAGGAAAGAATTTTTTTTTTACACAAAATGTATTTGAAATGAATATAAGAATTTAAGATAAATGCTA